ACAAAAACACACACACACACACAAATACACCCCTCAACACAATTTTAATAATATCATCATAAAAGGATGTAATGGGGGAAAATGACTATATTTCTAGCTGATTCTAATTCAATTGGGTGTCCATGGTTAATTTGCAGCTCTTTGCTGGTAACGATGCAGATGAATTTAGCTCAATTTTGAAGCAGGAAAGCACTTCAAAAATATTGATCACTACTTGCCGCTTCAATTCTACAGTATATTTTCCTCTCAAGTTTTATGCTTCTTATTGTGGTAGAGGCAACAACTTAACATGAAAGATATATTTGCATCCTTGATCTGTTTCCATGTTGGACGGTATTATTTATGATGTATGACAGTCATTGCTTACCGAAGTTAACTGCGGATGTGCTCCAATTATTGTTGGTTTTTGTATCACCTGCAGAGGGGACCTGCTTTTATATAAGATCTGCTCTCTGTGATCCCAAATGCTCATTACTACAAGAGAGGAACTTATGACTTGAAAAAGGTACTGGTTTACATTCTTCTTCCTCATCTTTTCTTCTCTTTGCTTTCCTTTTTATTCTTATATTTTTTGAGAGGATAGAATGATATAAGACATTAGATATGGATTTAAGGCCATTATCCTATCGCTTCTGCAGATTGTGGAATATGCAAAGAAGAAGGACTTCACTTCTATTATAGTTGTCCACACTAACCACCATGAACCAGGTCAATGCTCTCAGGATTCCTTTTCCTGGCCTTTAATTTTCAACTAGAAATGGATATTTTATTGAAAGAAAATGCTCTGTATATTTATTCTCTGAAAATTTCATCCTGCATTGATGTTGAAATGTTACCAACATTGGTAGTTGTTCTGTAGATGCTTTCCTAGTTATTTGCTTACCTGATGGACCTACAGCCTATTTCAAACTCTCAAGGCTTGTTTTGCAGAAGGATATTAAGGTCTGTAGTTGTATTTCGTCTTCGTCTTTCATTTAGAATACGAACTTCTTGCATTTTGACTCAAAGGCAAGCTGCCACACATACAAACTTTCACTATCTATGGATTTGATTAGAGAGTCCTACAAAATGGGTAGTAATTCCTTTGTTTTTTTTTTTTAAAATAAAAATTGTGTATTAGTATAGTGGATTGTGATTAGTGTTAGTATCTATGAAGCACGGATATTTCAATAGGGGTGACATATCCGTATCCAATATATATCGGATACTGATACTCGTCGGCGATACGTTTGAATACCGATACTTGTCGGATACTCGCAGATACGTATCGAATAACTAATGAAATATTTAGTATTGTTGGATACTTATCCGATACACCTTCAATACATGTATCTCCAAGGTGGATACATTTTCCTTATACTTAGTAAATCATGCAAATGGAGATTGTTTGTTCCAAGATGTTAATTTGGACATGCATCACATATGTCATAAGATTTGTCAATTCTTTACAATTTACTTGGCCTGAATAAAGAGTTTTTATGTCTTATGTCAAAGACAATAAATCTATTGAATTAAATGTTAATTAAAAGTTGAACACTTTCGAAGGGTGACACGTGTTTAGGATTAGAATTATATAGAACATTGAATTCAAGAATCAAAACATCATTAAACAATCCCCTATGTCAACAATATAAATTGTTTTAGTTTGGGAGTATTTTTTTCCTCTTAATCCCTTATATCCCTAGTATTGTAAATTTGTAATATCTTATTATAATATAAATAGACGTATCTTAGCCGTATCCGTGGCCTACTTTGTAAGATTTTTTCGTATTGTCGTACTCGGATCCCGTATATGTATCTGTGCTTCCTAGGTCAATACTGCACTTCTTATAACAAACTTTTGTCAATTAGAGTCACTAATTGTTTCTAATAAATTTTTGATCAACTAACAACCTGTAATAGTTTCTTTTTACTATGAGGTACTAGTTTATTTTATATATGATTTTTGTGATCTAATTACCTTAAATCATTTTGGGTTCCTTTGTGCACAAGTATAACCAATTTCTAAGGCCTGAACATTGTTGAATTGCCATCCTTTGTATATGTGAAATAGGATTTAGCGTCAGGTTTTTCATTTTATTTGATGTTTGATTTTGATTACTTTTATAGTGTTTTGTATGGAATGTACATCAAAGCTCTATATTCTACTAACTTCACAACACGCCTGTGTTATCGCATCGGAAGGATGCTTTCTTTTTCTTCCCTCGTATTATTGAATATGAAAAAAAATGAATTTTATCAGAGATGCTTAATTAAAATTGATTTGAAGGTAACAACTATAGCCATGCTTTATTGGTTATAGAATTCCATTTGAAAGGATTGGGTTGTCTTTTTTTCTCGCTATGGATTTGTCGATAAAATAAAAAATCTCTATGGATTCTTGTGATCATCTCTCTCTCTCTCTAATATTTGGATGTATATTTATTTTTCAATCTAGGCTGATAAAATCACTTTTTCTGCAAGATCCAAATTTTCGTGGTCGGCGAGCTGTAACCTTGTACAATCAGCGAGATTTTATATTCTTCCGCCATCATCGGTGTGTATCCACTGTACTTTCTGGTTGCTCTATTTTGAACATTTTTACTTGTATTTGGGATAGGGTCTCTGATGGATTCATTTTGTTGTGTTATGGGTAGTTATATTTTTTAAAGTAAAGAAAGTAAACAAAGTGATTCAAAAGGTATAAAAGGCAAGGATGCTCAGGATGATAAAAGTGCTAAGAAGAAAATAGTTGCTCGGCTTCAGGTTTGTTTCACTTAACTTCTCTTTGGTTTTGTTTTGCCTACATTCTATGTGACTATAAATTTTTGGAAGTTGTTGGTACCCTGTTCATCAAGACCTCTCCCTCTAATTGTTTGATTCATGAATGCTTGGATTGATTAGTGGAATCCAGCCTAATTGTTCCCATTGACAATGTATGACTCCAAAACCCCTCGTTATTCTTGTGTTAGTTCTAAACATCCTAGTTACATAGGCTTGAACCCTTAGATTTTTTCCAAAAAAAAAAAACACTCCACCCCTCTTGCTTATGAATGTGTCTTGGAACAATTTTTTTTTTCGCTAAAAGAAAGGTAAATTTCATCAAAACCCTTGTATATAGACCTAATTTCAATGACACCATCTTCCTTTTTTGAAAGTTCAGTGTCACCCCTTGTCAACATTTGTCCGGTGACGGTTTTAACAGAGGTAGTTCTTTTACATTTTTACCCATACAGATTTCATGTAACTACTTCCTATATGTATAACATATAGGTGTAACATAGTCTATACTACGTATATAATATATTTACTTTTATAAAATCATTAATAACAAACATTTTTGAGAGGGAGAGAATCAGAGAGACACGAGAGGGTTAGTGAAAGAGATTTGTTGAACACACCGCCCACCAACTATTGAGCACCATCACCACCACTTCTCTCCATCGCCTCTACATGCGCACCCTCTCACTACACCACCCATGAGTTCTACCCCACACCCACAAGCACAACTACCCACCAAATCATCTCCCTTTATTTTCCCTTTCTCTTGGGCACCGTTTTTTTTTGTGTATACACACATTCAACTTTCCTAGCACCATCGCCTGTGGGCACCATGCCATCCATGCCTAATTCGACCACCCACACCATTATCGACCACCTCTCAATTATAAATAGTTCAATCTATTACCTACGACTCCAACTGATGAAGGTTAGGTGGTGGCTCCATATGGTGAAACTCAAATTGATTCGATACCTCTGTAATTTCCATTGTGAAATGAAATTGGATGTGATTTACAGTAGTTGAATAAACGGATTTGGTTTCTTCTCTGTAATTTCCTCTATGAAATTCTCTCTCTATTAATGGTGTGGTGATAGTAGTGGCATCGTGGATGTTAGATTTTGGCAATGATGTGTGTATTGTGTGTGTGTTGTGCATTGACAGTTGGTGGAGAGATTGAGATGATTTCACGAAGGGTTGAGATGATTTTGTGGTTGCTAGGGTATGTTGTGTGCGCATTATCAAGAGGGAAAAGAAAATTAGGCTCATGCCAAACTAAAAAATGGGATTTTTTGATTTTTATTTCAGATTGTTATGCCAACAACTTAGTGGTATGGGTAGAGATAGAGGGGTGTGGCTTTGACGGTTAGGAGTGCGGTGGCAATGAAGGTGGGGGTGCGATGGCAATGAAGATGGTGTGTGGGTAGGCGTGGTTTTCGTTGTTGGAAGTGTGTGGTGGCAGTGGTGATGGGAATGGTGTGTGGATTAAGGGTGGTTGTGGTTGTTAGAGGGGTGCAGTGATAAGGTTGATGAATTTTTTTAATTTGGGTGCTTAAATAATTGAAGACAAGGAAGAAGATGGTGTGGAGTAGTATAGGTATTTTAGGAAAAAGAATTGCATGTCATAAGTATTTTTGACTTGTTAGTAACGGAGATTCACGGTAATGAGTTTGATTGAAGTAAACATATGAACCAGAAAGAAGTGCAGTGAAATTTCAGAAAAAGAAAGGGTGTCGTTGAAGTTAGGCCTATCTTTAGAGGGTGTGGATGAAATTTACCCAAAGAATAATTTTATTATAGAAACGAATAAAGAGCGTAATACAATGTAGAGGACAAGATATCCTCAAAAAATGAGCAAAAACGGAGAAAAATAAAAATAAAGTAGAGTTATCATCCAATTCCTTTGAAGATCTGACAAAGGAAACCTTTTAAAACTTCATATGGCTTTGGTCTAAAGTGAAGTCATACAAATCAATTATTCCCATACTAATTCAGAAGGCAAAGAACAATTATTGAAATTTCTAGCATTTCTCTCCATCCAAGTACACCAAAAAATTGTCATGAATGCGCAATGTCATAGTACTTTGGCTTCCTTTTTATTTCCAAAACCCCAATATTTAATATGCAACATTTGCTTCACTGTTGAAGAGCGAACCCAAGCCTCACTAGTCAAACTGAATAATATATTCTACCACAATGAATAAATAAATAAGCATTCGATTGTCCACTACATAAACAAATAAGACAAACATCAAGGCTCAATGTTTTATATGGTCTCTAAACCTGCATCAAATTGTTGGTGTTCATCCGATTAAGGACAGCAGTCCAAACAAAAGCCTTAATTTTAAAAAGAACTTTGGCTTTCCAAATATACTTGGCCAAATTCTTAGATTTATCCACTGTCTAGATTCTATTATCATGAAATGAACAAGGTTGAAGTCATTGAGAATGTGAAGCAAAGAAGTCAATACAATTGTTTCTCTATCATTAAAATACTTAAAAATTGAAAATCTCAGAAAAAGCCCACCCACCTGACAAAAAAAGAAAACATAGGAGTCTTATGGAGTGAGGATAAGCAATAAAGACGAGGAAATATATTATGAAAAGATAAGTCCCCAATCCATATATTCTCCCAAAATATAATTTTGGATCCATCTCTCACTTTATATTGTGTCAAAGGAAGAAAAGAAGAGCAAATCTGAGAAATGAATTTCTAGGGGCTCATATGGGTTGTGTTATTCCCTGAATTTGTATCCTACCCATTCCTTTGAAGGCCATACTTGCTCCTAATTCCAAATTTGCAGGAATGTGGCCCTCGTTTCACACTGAAGTTAATCAGTGTGCAGCAAGGGACATTTGATACAAAAAGCGGGGAATATGAGTGGGTTCACAAGGTGATGTTACTGCTTACTCAAAATTGTATTGGTATATTGATTGCATAAAGCTTTTACTTGCTTCTCTAATTTGATGATTTTCTATGCATTTGGCTTATTTATTCTTTGTTTTTTTTTCTTTTTCCCCTTTGAATACCGGCCTGAGATGGACACTAGTCGAAGGAGATTTTTCTTATGACGTACTCTGGTATATCGCTGTCAAGTTATTGGTCCTTGAATGGAAGCCTTGTTCAGAAGGTTAGCACCTTATAACGAGGATTGAACTTAGAAGTTTGTCCATTTGTGTATCTAGTTGTGCAACAACATCTTGGCTTCTAATTATTTTCCTTTTTCTTGGGTTGTGGCAGGGTTTTTTTTTGGTGCGGGTACGAGGATGTGGTCAGATTTTCGTGGTCAGAATTTCATGTTCAACGCTTGCAACTTGAATGGTATTGCTGATTTGATGAAGAAAAATCAAGGCAGTACCGATGCAACACTACGGATAGGTATCTTTCAAGAGGCAAAATTATCGGGTCATGGTTGTTGAGATGCAACTTAATGCTCCGTTTGGTAAAAAGGATGAAAAGTAGGAGGGATACATTTTTTATCCTTTAAGGATGGAAAGTAGGAATAATACATTTTCCTTTATTTGTGTTTGATTGGATGGATGGAAAATAAAAATGATCAATTTTTTGTCTAATATTAGGGGTAACAATCAAGTCGTGTTGTGTTAGATTGGTGTTGAGTCATAAAATTATGAGTTTTTTATATTTCTTGTTCGCGTATTAAGTCATTTTCAAGTTCGTGTCGAGTTATAATCAAGTTCGTGTTATAAAATTTGTGTCGAGTTCGAGTTGTGTCATCGTATTAAGTCGAAAATTTTCACCCCTTAATTATAATAGTAAAAATATTTTTTTAATTTAAATTTAAATTTTTTTATTTTATTTTTAATATATGTATATATATTTTATCATTGTATTTTTATATGAAATTAATATATACATAATATATAGACAAATAAGATATATTTCAACACAAATAATTAACTTTTCATTCATTTTTTTTTCGATTTTAGAGGGATTGATTTTGGTGAGTTGGAAGGAAAGTTAATTAATCCACTTTTTTATCGTTTTTATTTTATTTTTTTACAAAATATGATGTTTTATTTATTCTTTTAATTTTTTATTTTTTTAATTTTTTTTATTTAATTTTTTCATCATATCAAACAGAGCATAAAGTCTCCAAAATGGTCTTTGATTAATATGGTTTTACCTCAGGTTCTATTGACAGTCAAAATACAAATCCTTAAATAGGGAGAATTTATGCCTAAAATGTAGTTTGTTCACCGAAAAAAGGGCTTGGGTTTTGCAGCCCAACGTCTATCTATGCCAGGTTAGTGGCATAGGTAAAAAATTTTCAAATGTCTTGGGCGAGTAAGTATTTGACGTAGCAGTGAGATACCATATTAGTACCGCTATTATTATTCAATAAAAAATCAATGAGTAGGTAAAATAGATTTTATTTCTTTACATGTGATAGTTATTATATTATATGGATTGGGTAGTTATTGAATTATGTGGGATTTATTTGCTCATTTGATGATTTCTTATTAGATTGTTATATTTTTTGGTGATATTACGTGAAATCACCATTACATTGAATATCTTTGGAGGCTTGCCTAACTAAACTTGATTCAACTTTACCACTTTTTAAACGAGGGAATTATTAGTAGTGTTGGTAGTATAACATTTGGTCGTTGTGCAAGCATAGTTGGTGTGGTTTGTAGGAGTTTTTTTAACCAAATTACAACTCTTTCCAAATTTTATATCCTATCTAAAGTTGCTTTTATCTTATTTACCAGACTAGGATAATTTTTTATTAAAGAGTGGGTTGAACTTCTGCTTTTGAATGAAAACGTTGCCAAATAGGTTTTTTTTTTTAAAAAAATATTGGTAAATTGAAAAGACAGAGGGAAAAAGTGGAGAAATCACAATAGTGTGACCCATTGATTATGATTAGTACAANAAAAATATTGGTAAATTGAAAAGACAGAGGGAAAAAGTGGAGAAATCACAATAGTGTGACCCATTGATTATGATTAGTACAAAATATGATGGGCTTTTGAAAGAGCAGTAGTTTTCTTATCAAAGAGAACTTTGACGTGTCTCCGTTCCAAAGTCCAAACGAAACCTTCCTAGATAAGGGCAAATCACAAAAACCAACCCTAAGGTCTAAACTTATTCTACTGTCCGTTAATATACTAGAAATTACAATCAATAACAATTGACTAATGACTAACTAACAAAACTAACAAAGTTGACGAGACTGTTGTGACATAACATGTCAGAATCTTATATTGAATCGGAAAAAAATTAATATACATTGAATAGGTCGAATAGGAAAAGAAGTAATACACATTGAATAGGTTTACTTTTGATCCTACGGAAAGGGAGAAAGCTCCTCAATAAACTACTGAATAGTAGGGAAAGCNGGTTTACTTTTGATCCTACGGAAAGGGAGAAAGCTCCTTAATAAACTACTGAATAGTAGGGAAAGCTCGTCCCTCACTTCCTCCGTTGCTTGTGCTTAGTCCCACTCTTCCTTTTTTTTTTTGCTTCTATCTTTGAATATGCATATTATACTTCTATGCTACCGTATTTTGGATCNGCTCGTCCCTCACTTCCTCCGTTGCTTGTGCTTAGTCCCACTCTTCCTTTTTTTTTTGCTTCTATCTTTGAATATGCATATTATACTTCTATGCTACCGTATTTTGGATCAGTAATTAAATTAAATAGAAAATATATTAGAGTATTTTTAGTATACTATAAATAGGTATATTAGTCCTATGATGGAAAACTTAAATATTAATAATATTGGATCTTGGAGTTGCTTTCTGAATAATATTGGATCTTGGTACTGCTTCTTTTCAACACATCTCATGACCATGGGCACCGCATTATAGAGGGCAAGCAAAGCAGTTTTATCAATAATCTTTATATTAAAACTGGAATTATCAGTCTGTGTTGTAGAACTAGGATTATGGATTCCCGTCTGCAACATAATTGATTTGGAAGTTCTTTTTCATGTTTCCCAATATTCACATTGGTGTTAGAATTGGAATTCTGCCTTCGTAATTAATGCCAGTAACCGTATTTGTGCATACGGTGCTATTCCATGTTTGATTGACCACTCTCTTCCGACCAACTATTAATCAGGAAGGTTTTCATCTGCGAATCACTAGTAAAGCCTTACGGTTCTTGTTAACTTAAAATCCAGCATCCAAGCAAATGCCAAAACTAGAACCTTCCGGGAAAAAAAAAATGTCGAAACTAAAGGAAACTACCATGAGTTGTAGCAAAAAATAAATAGGAACAAAATGGTAACACTCGGAACATGATTTACAAAGACGCAGAATGAATGACTTCGTCAGAACTGCTGGAAAAAGAAACTTTCACTGCTGATACATCCAAAAATATATCAACAACATTGAATCAGAAATTTGAACATTCTAGTTGTGCCCTTAATTTCTAAGAATTTCAAAATTCTATAGTTAAATACAAGATTATGGGGTTTGCAATTCACTGGAAACTCCTGTAGTATCCATGTCTGTCCTCCAGGCCAATAAGCCACCTTGTCAAGATCCACTGTGTAGGACTAAATGCAGCGTCATATTGGTCTCGGTGGTTAACAGGAGTCATCCATTGCAATAAAATCTTAATTGGTTTTTCGGGAAAATNTCCAGGCCAATAAGCCACCTTGTCAAGATCCACTGTGTAGGACTAAATGCAGCGTCACATTGGTCTCGGTGGTTAACAGGAGTCATCCATTGCAATAAAATCTTAATTGGTTTTTCGGGAAAATAGATCCTGCAAGTGGGATGTGTAAACCCTCAAAGTGATTAAAATCACGAGAACGTGCCTTGTTTACTCCCCTAACATTTACCTTCAAGAAAACAGGTTGGACAGAAAAGGGCTGCCTTATTTGCCTCACTTTAGTGTATGGATATGCAATCCATGAGAACTATACCCATGCATAAACATCCAACAACANAAATCACGAGAACGTGCCTTGTTTACTCCCCTAACATTTACCTTCAAGAAAACAGGTGGGACAGAAAAGAGCTGCCTTATTTGCCTCACTTTAGTGTATGGATATGCAATCCATGAGAACTATACCCATGCATAAACATCCAACAACATAAGCATGTTCCTTTTTAATTTTTGTCCCCTTTAAAAGATTATGTCCGAAAGTTACAGTGACAGAATAAAGCCACCACAAGATTTCAAACATATACAAATCCTCTTTTGCAAAATTGCATTTGCTTTTGGTCTATGGATTTTTTTTACATAGATTCACACTATGTACATCATGTCCTTACAGACAGTTGTCGGGAAAGAAATTGGTAAGTGTCAAACCGTATGCACCAGTCAAACGGAAAGAAGTAGACTTTTTCCGAAGCAAAGAGTTCACTCTACTGAACTCAAAGAGCAAAAGAAGCAAGCTATACCATCAACCTAGTTTAGGCAAATCAAACTGCCAGCCAACTATAGCTCTGAATTAGGGATACCTGGTTAAAGGTGTAATTTACAATGGGGTGTCTTGTTGCTCACTGGTAGTGACCAACAATTGTACCAGTAAGAAAGCCTATTTATGGCAATGTGAGAGGATGAGGTAGACTGAAATTAACTTTGAATGAAATAGTAATAAATGATATAATAGCTTGCAAATTTAACAGAAAACATGGCATTTGATAGAGTACAATAGATTAATAGGATTCATGTAGCCGACGTTCAAAGTTGGATAAGTCATTGTTGAGTTGAGTATCAAACCCCAGGCTCTCTTGTCCCCTAGACCTCAATTCAAACAAGTCAATCAGCAGAAAAACACAAATTAACACGGAAAGGATTACTAAACTTGGTATCTCAGCAGCTTTTCAGTAGTCCTATCCTGAAGATCTAGACAAGTAAATTACTTATTTTCAGAAGTTACAATGTCAGTCTATATATCTATATTTGTGGATAAATTCAACTACTCCTAAAAGTAAAAGGAGAATTCTAACCCCAGGATCTCCCAGTTCAATGGACCTTGAACAGGATCATTTCACTTTCAAAGCTAAGAAAGGTGAAGGATCACTCACAGAGTAGTTCTTCACATGAACATAATAATTTTGGAAATTTGCATTCCTTAACCCCTTCAAAGATGAAAACCTTTTCCGTGAAGTTCTCCAATTCTGACCTTCCATTGTAAAAAATAAACCGCACCAATGTCACTTGGTAACCCAGTGACATGTATATAACAAAATTGCCCATCAGATGATCTTGAAAACAGGTCTGGCAGCAAAACCTGAACTTCACTTTCTCCACTCTTTGAGGATATGCTATTAAAACTAGTTTAAAAAATGGGTATATGGACTGTCAACTCAATACTTTGACGACACTTAATCGCTTAAGAAATGGGCATCGTAAAACCTTTACAACATATTGCCTCAACATTTCCACAAACTAGAAACACTTTTGAGTTTTTTGACAGGTACCATGGGTTTGACAGAAGCATTGTATCACTTCAATTCNCTGTCAACTCAATACTTTGACGACACTTAATCGCTTAAGAAATGGGCATCGTAAAACATTTACAACATATTGCCTCAACATTTCCACAAACTAGAAACACTTTTGAGTTTTTTGACAGGTACAATGGGTTTGATAGAAGCATTGTATCACTTCAATTTATATCTATATCACACAAACTCCTGAGCTAATGTTACTATGTTAGGGATCATGATTTGCAAAAAAAAAAAAAAAATCATAATGCTGTATGGATTTGATTTCATATGAAATTCAAGTGGAAATGTGTTCATGAAACATAACTCAGTATGCAGATTTAAGATGAAAAAAGATACACCTATAACTCTTCTCTTCTTCAAAGGTTCTATCTTAAGGTTTTACCTCAGAGACTCTTTAGAACTCTCTTGAGCAACAGACCTACAATATGGATTTTTCTTTCAGATTTTCAAATCCAAATGCACTGTGTGCACATGACTTTTCATCGTAAATTGTTGTTCGTTGATGTTGAATTTGACTTGAAGCAGAAGAAAAAGATGATACATGGAGAGACATCTCTTTTTACTAATCCATGTAATAATTATCATGGCTAACTGAGAGTAATATTTTCAAATGAGATCAGGAGCATGACAGCTTCAAGGATCTGATCTTTTCCACATATGACAATTCATATGTGTGCATGTAATGAAATTGATATCTACGACCGTGACTCGTGGACTGGGACTCCTCTCCTGCTCTTGCAGCTAAAGCTACTCATCTCTGTATCCATTGTTTTGGGAAATTAAACACTACAGTAACTGACAGATGGTACATATAACCAATTATATTCGAGTTCACAGATCACAAGTAAAGGAAACTTAGAAGTTAAGATGTCTAAATAGGATGTCTGAAACAGCCAAAATTGACACTAATTGCACATTACTTGAAAAAATTGGACTGGTAGAATGTAAAAACCGTCATTAAAATTTAAAACTGATAATGGAACTTTCCAACATATTGTATTGCAGAACCAAAGGATGTGTGGGTGAGATACCTGTTCCTTTGGTTATTGTCCCAGCAGAAGGAAAATTCTCCATACTACCTCACTTAAAAATCTTGTAAGAAACTTCTCACAGCTGAAGAAGAAACATGTGAACTCTGAATCAAGTTTCATTCTTGTTGAAGACTTCTCTAACTAGTAGCATTCTGCCACAGAAATCCTGCAAGTGGAGAGTTCCACAGGTGATGAGACTAAACAAATGGAGTAAAACAACATGCAGATTAAAATATGGATATCGACTTAACTGTTCCATCCAACGACATGGCAGCCTCGCGTTCTGCAGCTGATGAAAAGGAAAGGAATCCATACACACGGTTCTTACCAGCTTTACGGTCATACAGTACTCTAGCACTAACTACAGTCCCAAACTGGCTAAAAAGGTTTCTCAAATCCTCAGGCTTGACAGACCAGGCAATATTGCCAGCATAAATTTTGTAAGGGCTCTCAAAAATCAATTTTTTCTTGGATGCCGTATTGAATTTCCCGAGGTCTCTTTTAGCAATATCCATGTCAGTGGAAAATATAATCCGCATTTCACGACCGCCAACATCCTTTCAAAAAATATACACACACTAACACTTTCAGGCAAAACAGTAAACACAGAAGGTACAAAATTGTTCCTAAAAAACAAGGGCAGCTAAACTCCAAACTTACAGAGCCATCCAAAGAAGTAATTGCAGCTTTGGCTTCATCAACTGAGCTCATGGTGACATAACCACATCCGCGACTTATGCCCGTTTCGGCATTGCGTGAAACCTTAAGCCAAAGTGCAAATATATAGTTACAAAAAAAAAACCACCGAAAAAAGAAGAAAATTTTCAAGCCCCTAATTGTCTTATCTTACGCCCCAAAAATCCAATAAATAAAATTCAACACAGCAAAGAGCAGAGGGAGTGTACCTCAACAGATTGGATGGTACCATGAGGTTTGAACATATCGTGAAGCTCAGTTATGCCAAAGCTTCTTGGAAGATTACAAACATAGAGTTGGCAGCATGTCAATATATTCCTGGATGCCCAAACTTCCTCGCTGTTCATTTTATCTGCGGGGATAGTTGCGACCAATTGTTCTTCTTGGGCGACTGCTAAGACGGAGGTGTGCCTAGTTTTATTAGAGTGATTGGTGGTCGTAGTGTGCCAGAGGAGAGAGGAAGAGGACGTAGAGAGGACGAGCAAGCAAGAAAATTGTTTTGGACAGCAGAATCGAACACAAGTAGGAAAAGATGAGGAGGGTTCAGTGATGCCGTTTCTGATTTTGCAGACCAATGGGGACGACGACGTTAAGCGAGAAATGGCCATGGTTAGAGGTGGGCAACAAAGCTGGTTCAAAGTTGGGAGCACTGACAGCCTGATCTTATAACGCCCAGCCGTCTCGATTAGCCCTGTGGTTTGGTTTGGGTCCCCCCCCCCCCCCCCCCCCCCCCTACCAACCCCC